CACTCTGAATGTTTTAGACTCATGACTCATATCCAATTATACTATCACTTTGTCAATATTTTTTTTTATTTCTTTTGTCTTTTTGATTTTGAATTTCAAACTTTTGGTGGGTGGGTTTCGTAGCAAAATCTACCAGCAACTCCGTAAAATATTTCAATGTTTTGGATTTTGTGAGTTCTCTATGTATCAAGACCATCAAGGTATCCAATTATACAACCACTTTGTCAATTTTTTTTTTCTTTAGTGTATCTAGAGACTCATGAGCTTTGGGTGTTGAACCATACTATATTGTTATCACCTAAAGTTTGGTTAGCTGATAATAGTGTAATCTTTGAAGTAACTGAATAAAAAATTGTTGCCAACGAGTTCTTCAATGGAATTTTTGGAACATTGTAACATCAAAATAGTGGTGCAAAGTACATTCATTGCGTTCGTACTTTATTTGTTATGATTTTTCTAAGGGTGTAAAAACTACATTGCGTTCGTACTTTATTTGTTATGATTTTTCTAAGGGTGTAAAAACTATTCTTCTTTGATAAATTTTCTCTTTCTTGTCTATCACAATAATATATTTGTTGATTAACTCTTATCTGATTGTAACAAGATTTTTATATGTAAGAATTTCAGCTCTTAATGTTAAAAACACATAAAGTTCTCATTATTACTACTCTTTGTTAAATTTTGTAATTTAAGTAAACATACCCAAAATAGTGGTGCAAAGTACATTCATTGCGTTCGTACTTTATTTGTTATGATTTTTCTAAGGGTGTAAAAACTATTCTTCTTTGATAAATTTTCTCTTTCTTGTCTATCACAACAATATATTTGTTGATTAACTCTTATCTGATTGTAACAAGATTTTTATTTGTAAGAATTTCAGCTCTTAATGTTAAAAACACTTAAAGTTCTCATTATTACTACTCTTTGTTAAATTTTGTAATTTAAGTAAACATACCCAAAAAAAAAAAAAAATTCTAACTACTCTCCTATGCAACAATAAAATTATCAAAATTGATTGTTGAAAAATATTTTTCATATCATTAAAAATCGTTAATTGACTTGATAATTTATTTACAAAAAATGTAATTATTAATATTGCATAAAAAAATTAATTATTAATATTGCATACAATCAATCAAAGACATCTTTCGAATTTCAAACACCTTCAAACACCAAACACCTTCAAACACCAAACACCTTAAAATAACCAAACACCTTGAAACATCACAATCTATTATTAGACACCTTGAATGTTTTGGACTCATGACTCATATCCAATTATACTATCATTTTGTCAATATTTTTTTGTTTCTTTTGTCTTTTTGATTTTGAATTTCGAACTTTTGGTGGGTGGGTTTCGTAACAAGATCAGATCAACTTCGCAGAATCTAGAATGCAATTGGACTTATCACTCATAATCAATTATAATATTCGTCAATTTTTTTTTTCTAATTGCTCTCATATGCAATAATAAAATTATCAAAATTATTCGTTGAAAAATATTTCTCATATCATTAAAAATCGTTAATTGACTTAATAATTTATTTACAAAAAAATTAATTATTAATATTAAATTAAAATATTAAGATGTACCATAGAATCAGATAGAATATTATGGAAAAAAAGTTAACTCAAATTTTATTCACATTATTTTTACATTTTTCCTTCTCTTTTTTAAATTATTGTCCAAATTTATAGTGTAAACCCAAAATATTTAACTATCACCTAATGTAAAAGAGTTGTGTGGCTTAAGCTGTTTTGTATATCTCAAACCTCTATGTGTGTTTTGTGTAATCACCCTTATGAGGATCATAACCATTTATTCTTTGATTGTCCCTTCTCAAGTCGAGTCTGGGAGAGTATTAAAGGGAAACTTAATGTGAATTGGCCCCATCTCCTTTAGCCTGACATTGTCCAGTTGGTTTCTAAAACGGTCAAAGGTAAATCTCTTAGTGCTATGGTCACAAGACTTGCATTTACTTGTACTGTGTATCAGCTTTGGATTGTTAGGAACAATTGCATATTTAGAAAGGAAAAGATTCCTGAAGAGATTGTGGTTAAAGGCATTGTGGATATGATTAGATTTCGAGTAATGTCTATTACTAACCTCAAATTGCATCCTAGTGACAGTTGGTTTTTGAGTTCCTAGAGGCTGCCTAACACTGTGTTGAAAGCAACAACAAATGGAATAAGAGTTGAGAGTTCAGTAAATTGTGGGTTGAGTGATGGTAGCACAAATTGAGTGTTTTCTTAATGGTTTGCTCATTTTGTAGGTACATGGATAAGATGGAACTGCTAGCTGTGAGTGATAATAACCAATCTCAGTAGGTTGAGTGTTATGGGAGATACACAAATATCTATACCCCATTTCTACTAGCCATATTGAGTGTTTGTTATATATTCATGTCTACTTATCTTCCTTTGTTTTGCAGGTACATGGATCTGAAGTTTTTTGAGTGGAGTGAGAATCTAAATTGTGTGTTGAGTGATGTGAGCCTAGAAAATGCATGTTTATATTTTATTAATGTGTGTTTTTCTCTTTCCACTCATTTTGGTCAGGCTACTTTAGCTTAAGGGAGGGTGATGCATTACTCAAAGGCTGCTGGAAAAAGTGGCAGTTTTGTGTAAGGAAGAGCTCTCTCTTTGCTGGTAGCAGTTCTTATTGGAACAATAGGGACACGGTTTGTGGATGTAGGATTGTGTATGGCTCCCCTAATCTATGGAAGCACGGTTATGCGACTGTAAAATGGGGAATCACTAAAATTCGAAAGCATGGAAGCAAGTTGTTAGCTGCTGGGAGCGCCGATGGTGTCAAGAAATGTGTTTTATTTCCTATATATTTAATTGTCTATAGGTTGTGTTTATTAGTGTATTTGGGTGCCTACCCTTGCGGGATGTGCAAGGGATGTTTTGTTCTACGGGGTGACAATTTATGCTATGATAATGTTCTCGGTTCTTATGCTGGGTTCCAAGAATACGTCTCTTTATGGTGCCGGTTGCTGCCGTTGGTTTATTGTAAAATTGTTTGTGAGATGTTTAGTTTGTTAGTTGTTTGGTATTTGTGTATGGCCTTTAGTGTCTTTGGTTAGGTCTGCTGTTGCTCATTTTTATTTTTATTTTTTTCTGATGTGTAGTTGTGGGTAGGGCCTGGGGCATGCCCCTTGTATTTTGTGTTAGCTTTTTGTTTTTATTTATGACTTACTTACCCAAAAAAAAAAGAGTTGTGTCAATATTAAATTTACAATTTTTTCCAAGATTATCGATTATAACAGGGAAAGAAAATACTCCTCTACCAACAAAAAGAGATGGACAATATCAATGGTATGAATTTGTATGCCAATTTCGATGAACAAATAAAAAAAATGTTCATGGTTTGTTACAGCTACTAATCAAAGGATTTATCACAGATGCAATTACTGAACATCGTGCTCGGCAAAACAATCGATATGCCAGATTTACACTTGAACAACGAAAACAATATATTGAAAATATTTTAAATAATAGGAAAAGAAAATGCAAAGGTCCAAACACATTTGACAACACAACTTACTCTTTGGAAGGGCATGACGAGACAACTCCAACGAATGGTAAACACACAAAATTAATAATTATTTTTGACATCTATTACTATATAGACTTGATTTTAATGCCTCTAATTTGTTTAACATATATGAAAAACAGGTGATGCACCATCGCAAATTGTTTGCTCTCTGACACATGAATTGCATGAATTACATAAAATGATACATTGTACCTTTTGTAAAGCCAAAAGGTTTGAATATGAACCTCTGAGCTTTTGTTGCTATAAAGGAGAAGTAGTGCTTGCAAGCCCTGAAGTTTTAGAATGTCTAAGAACCTTGTTCACTTCTCAAACTATAGAGGCTGTTGAATTTCATAGACAAATTCAAGCGTATAATAGCATTTTTGCACTCACATCATTTGGTGTGAAGTTCAACAAGGAATTGGCAAATTCTAGACGAGGTGTTTATACATTTCGTGCACAAGGTCAAATATACCATGATTTTCCATCTTTGGTTCCATCTGATAAGGATCCTTGTTATTTCCAGTTACACTTCTATGATATAGACAATGAACTTTAGAATAGAATGAGTAAACTAAACAATGCACCACTTTGTAAGGTGGTTGTTGGTAAACTAATTGAGATGCTTTTAGAAAATCCTTATGCTCAATTTTTGCGTATACTAGAACATGTTCCATTAGATACTTTTCAAATTCATATAAGTACATATGTGAAGTTGGATCAAAGGGTTTACAACTCACCATCAGCTGATCAGGTAGCTGCAATTTGGATTGAAGGAAATAATCCAAATGTACCTCATGAACGTGATATTATAGTTCGCTCAAATTCGAGGCATAAGCATAGAGTGTGACACTATCATGGTTGTTACGATCCATTGCAATACCTATTATTATTTCCTAGAGGAGAGGTCAGATGGTATCAAAATATCCTTAAAAGAAATAGAACTGGAGTAGGTAATGGTGTCATTAACATGCAACAAAATTTAAATATGCATTTATTTACATCAGTTGAAGACATTTTTAGACAAGAACAAGAAGGTACTTATTCTTTTCTTATGAAATCATTTTTTATTTTTATTATTTTATATTTTATCTTCTTTTTTTTTTCATTTTTTTGGATTTTTATGAACAGGACGCTGAAGGACTAAGAGCATCTCCAGCAGGTTAGCTATTGTTTCCTTTTAGCCATAGAAGCAGTGTCATTAACATGCAACAAAATTTAAATATGCATTTATTTACATCAGTTGAAGACATTTTTAGACAAGAACAAGAAGGTACTTATTCTTTTCTTATGAAATCATTTTTTATTTTTATTATTTTATATTTTATTTTTTTTTTTCATTTTTTTGGATTTTTATGAACGGGACGCTGAAGGACTAAGAGCATCTCCAGCAGCTTAGCTATTCTTTCCTTTTAGCCATAGAAGCAAGCTTGGAAGGGTAAAAGATTGTTTCAGCAGACTTGCTCAAGCATCGCTAGAATGGTGGTGAGCTACAGTACATCGCCAGGACAAGCGAGGTACTATTCATGGGCCTTTCAATTTTTTATTTGTTTTTGCCTCCTGAATTCTATTTTTGGCAGTAAAATTTTTTCCTCATTTTGGTGCTAAAAGTTCTGTCAGTACCTCCCCAAACAAATCTATAGAGAAGGCATTCCAAAACTCTCAAACCCTCTCATCCTCTCTATCTTTTTCTCAACCTTTTTGCTCAAGGGAGGTAAAGTTTTGTCATTTACGTTTGTTTATGCCATGAGTAGTGGATAATAAATTGGAGAATATGAAAGCAAATGTTCAGATTATTGCATTCTTATCTCATTATTTGTTGATTTTGGCAAAAATATTACACATTGCTTTGTCATTTGTTCAGATTATGTGAATATATATTTTCTCCTTCGCTTTGTGGCTTCCATGGTTTTTAATCTCATCTCACAAATTGTTGTAGCAAGTTATGGCTCCATGTTCTTAATCAATAGGTTACTACCTGTAAAAGAGAAACTACTATGTATTTATATTGCACACCATATGTTTGTTGTAATTTCTGTTAGAATAAAGATTGTAAATTGTACCCAATTATTTCTTGTATTAGTTCTTCTATCATATTTGACAAGAATATTCATTAATATCCAATTTTGATTGATTGTTTCATGAAACAGGGCTTAGGATATTTCAATATAACAACACTCAATACCAATCATGTGCCATATGAAAATTTCAATCTATTTGGTACCAATTCAATTAGAGTTTGGCAGATTGCATAAGATTTTTAAGTAAAGTAATAGACAACTAATAAGGGGATTGGAAGTAAGTTAAATATGTATCAGGGCAAGTCAATGGGCATTTGAATTGGCTTTTATCTTTATCTTTGCTCCAAGATAAACCTCACATGTTTGAATTAGCTACATAAAGAAAAATAACCTTAGAAACTAGCCCCTGGATTTTTCTATCCTCCAAAGCCTTCAAATGTACTGGATCTCCCTATCCTCCAAAGCTGTCTAAAACAGAGGATTCCACACCACTATCAAAAACTAACATATAATTGTACATTGAAGCATTCATATTCAAAACCAAAAGAAACAAGTTCAGGAACACCTCCCCTCAACGGTCTATGACTGCATAAACACACCACCAGTCAAGCAAAAACCTCACTCCACCTCCATTACCAGCCTTGAAAAAGATTATAGTGTTTTATATTAGATCAAACTTTTAACCAAATTTAGACTCAAATTTGATGAGGAAAACATGATTAAGGGTTGGAGATGATCTAAAATGAACTTAATCATGTCAAATATCCAGCAATTCTTTGGTTTTAACCAAAACCCATGATGATCTGCTCTATTTCTCAGATCAGATAAGAGCAAATGAAAAAATAAAAAATAAAAAAAATCAGCTAATGACACCTTAGAATTGCAATCTGTAGTCAATCTGGAATAAAATCCATGAATGGCACTAGATCATCGTTGGCTTTGTGTGAATGTGATTGAGAACAACTTAAACAAATAAATCAACATTGTGGGGGCCCAGATTTTGAATTGTATAACAATTCATGGACCATTAATTTAACCATTTACATACAGTCTGACTATATTAATGCGGTGATTAATTAATATTGGTCCATTCTTTCAAAATTTGAATACAATATTTAAATATCAACATGAGATAAGCATATATGTAAGAGTACAAGTAATCTACATATATATGTCCAGAGAAGCCCTCATCAAAACAATCCCAAAATCAAATAGCACTTTTAAACAGAACACTAAAATCCAATCTTCAGACAAACAAGATTTTAAAAAATCCAAATTTTCAATTAAAAAAAGAAAAGAAAAGGTAAAGGTACCCAAAAAAGGGTGTTGATAGTGGGAATGTCTAAAGAACTTATAGTGAAATTAACACAATGCATTACAGAGGCAGTCTCAAAGCACCCAATGGAAATCTCTTCATTTTGTATTTTTTTTTATGTGTTTGAAATTAGATTTTTCTACTGCAATTTTATTGTACAATAACTTGGATATTAAATTTTATTTCTTATATATTATTCAATCATCGGTATGGATTCACAACAAGATGGTTACTTTACCAATCTTTTACAAGAAAGACCCAACATTGATGAACATTATCTAATGGAATCTCAATATTTGAATCAAAGCACTCGAGTATTCGTCCAAGAGTCTCAATTTACTACTGAAATTGAATCTTTGTCGAAGAAACCTCAACATGGAGGAAACTTCACAATTGAAGAAGACAAACTCCTTGTATCGGCTTAGCTTAATATTAGTTTAGATGTGGTACATAGGAATAAGCAAAAACGCTCTACCTATTGGAAAAGAGTGTGGGATTTTTTCCATGAGCACAAGAAATTTGAATCTAATCGAAATGAGAATTCTCTTATGAATCGATGGTCAACCATTCAGCTTGCCATGAATAAGTTTTGTGGGTGCTACGCCCAAATTGAATCATTGCATCAAAGTGGCATAAATGAGGATGACAAGGTATTGAATATTGTACATTTACAATTATTATTATTTGTGAAGTTCCTAAATATTATTTATTTAATTAATTTTCAGATTTGCAAGGCAAAAATCATGTACAAGGAACTCAAGAAATCTACATTCCAATTCGAACATTGTTGGATTATGTTAAGGGATCAACCAAAATGGATGGTAGAGTCTAAGAAGAAAAAGCAACCAAAAAGACCAAGAACAGGGACAACCTCTTCTCTTTGTACTCCAGATTCGATAAATCTAGGGGAAGACGATGTCTCACCTAATGCTTTTGTAGACTTGGAGAGACCAACTGGTAGGAAGGCTGAAAATGAGCAATTGAATAAACAAAAGAACAAAGAAAGCGTACATTTGAGTATTACAAAGACTTTGGAGGATATCAAGGAAGACAAAAAGAAAATGATTGACAAGAAAATTGAAATGATTGACAAAGTATATATTCAAAAACAAGTAGAACTTCGTATCATGCAAGAAAAGCATGAGGTGGAACTTGAAAAACATGAAATGAAACTTTTCAAAGAGGACAAAAGAGTTATTTTGATGGATCTCAGTGGCTTGCCTGAAATCCAACAAGAATTTTATCGTGCTCGGCAGATGGAAATCATCAAGAAAAGAAGAATGAATTAGCATTCATTCTCTCTTTGCTCCTTATGATATTTTGGCTTTTGTCTAATAGGCTAGAAACTTGATATATGGTATTTTGGTTCTGCTTTTGTCTAGGATAGATGTTGAACTCAGCAATGTTTTTGGTAGAGAATGTTAGTTGTCTAATCTGATGCCGTTTGTGCTGTGTTGTTTTGCTGCTCTTTGTGCTATGTTGATGCTATTTTTGGACTGTTTTTTAATTTGTTTTTGCTACTATTTTGCTGGTGTCTTTGGGCTGTTTTACTGGTGTTTTTGGGCTGTTTTTGCTGCAATTTTGTTGCTGTTTTTGGACTATATTTCCTGTTGTTTTTGGACTATTTTTGCTATTGTATTGTTTTGCTGCTGTCTTTGGGCTGTTTTACTGGTGTTTTGGGGTTTTTTTGGGCTGTTTTTGCTGCACTTTTGTTGCTGTTTTTGGACTATATTTGCTTCTGTTTTTGGACTATTTTTGAGGAGTTTGATTGAAGTTCTTCTACCTATTTTTTATCACTTGCCAAGGTTGAAATGAAAAGCATATAATTAAAGGCATATAATTAAAACTAATAACATACTACCTATTTTTTATAGGGCTTTGATAGAGACCCCCTCCAATCACCACCCCCCCACCACCCCCTCACACACATGTGGCGGGTGGTGATTGGAGGAGAAGGGAAAAAAAAATAAATTTTTTTGACCAATCAGATCAAGAGGGGGTCAAGGGGGTGGGGGAAAAATGGGGTCTGGGTCGGGGGGGAAAGGGGGTCTGGGTCTTTTTCCTTTTTTATAAAAGGCATATAATTAAAATGAAAATCATATAATTAAAAGGCATATAGAATTATAAAATTCCACATAAATCAAAAGCATATACCGATTACACTCAAAACTAATAACATACTACATAAAATGAAACTTCAAATTCAAAGCTTTTACGACTCACTGTGTAATTGCCACAAGTGTTCAACAAGGTCCGATTGGAGATGAGAATGTGTTTGCCTGTCTCTTATGTTGTGATGTCATTGAATGAATTCCATAAGTTCAATAGTTCTCTCTTGTAACACCGTTACATGGGGACTGTCATCTATTTGATCATAATTGAAGTCTTTTACTCCATTGTCATCTCGCCCATCTTCAATGATCATATTATGTAGAATTATGCACACCTTCATAATATATTTAAGCATTTTAATATTCCAAAAATGGGCCGGTCGACGCACAATTGCAAATCGTGCTTGAAGCACTCCAAATGCACGCTTTACGTCCTTTCTTGTCGCCTCTTGAGCTGCAGCAAAAAGTTTTTTCTTATTTCCTTGAGGAGAAGGAATTGTTTTCACAGATGTTGGCCATTGTGGATATATACCATCAGCGAGATAGCATCCCATTGTATATTCATTACCATTGATGATGTAATTGATTGCAGAAGCACGCCCTTGAGCAAGTTCGGTAAATACAAAAGACCTTTCTAGCACGTTGATATCATTATGAGACCCAGCTAATCCAAAAAATGTATGCCAAATCCAAAGATCATATGATGCAACAGCTTCCAAAATAATTGTTGGTTCATGAATGTGTCCAGTATACATACCTTTCAACGCAGTCGGACAATTTTTCCATTTCCAATGCATACAATCAATGCTCCCCAGCATCCCAGGAAATCCACGACTTTCACCAACTGCTAGCAGTTTAGCGATGTTATTGCTGTTTGGTGACCTCAGATACTCATTAGAAAAAATATCACCAACTGCTTTAACAAAATATTTTAAGCTTTCTATTGCAGTACTTTCTCCAATTCTCACATATTCATCCATAAAATCAACAGCTACTCCATAAGCAAATATCCTAAGTGCAACAGTTATCTTCTGAAGAGAAGACAAACCAAGCTTTCCAGCACAATTTCTTTTTTGGAGAAAGTATGGATCGTGCGCTTCTATTGCAGCTTGAATTCGAAGAAAAAGTGAACGCTTCATCCGAAACCTCCTTCGAAATAGCTCAGGAGGATATACGGGCGATTCAGCAAAATAGTCAAGAAAAAGCCTTTCATGACCTTGAATATGGTCACGATGAATGACTTTATGACCTCAAATAGAATCACGACGTGAGCTTGATCCTATCTCACTATCTAGTAGTTCTTCATCCATAGTAATAGCTTTGAGCATCTCTAAATCATCATCAGATTCAGAGAAGTCAAAGTCATTTACAAGCATATCATAAAGAGAATTGGAAGCCATAGAGAGAGATATGGAAGTTTGAATAAAGTAGAAAATTGAGTTGAGGGTAAGATCAAATGAGAGGGAATGTCTTATTCATAATTGAAAAGTAAAAAAATATAACCGTCGTAAAAATATGACCGTTGCAAAAATATGACCGTTGTAAAAATACGACTGTTGAAAAAATATGACCATTATAAATTTATGGCCGTTGAAAAAATATGACCGTTTGAAAAATACGACAGTAGAAAAATGTAACTTTCACAAAAATATAATTATATTTAAAAGAATGAAAAAAATAATAATTTGAAAGAAGTTATTTTTTGTTTTTTTTAGATAGGAAAAAAGGTAGTTAAAGTATAAGAATATTTTAATAGAAGATAGCTAAAGTAGATAGTCTTGTTGGAGTATATATTCAAAAAATGACTAGTTAAAATAGTAAAGTGAAATTTTAAATAGCTATTTTGACTATCCTTGTTGGAGATGCTCTAATAAGAAAATTAATAGAAAGGATAAGTCATGGAATAGCAAGGTATGGCCAATTTAATAGAACATAGCTAAAGTAGATAGTCTTGTTGGAGTGTATATTCAAAAAATGACGAGTTAAAATAGTAAAGTGAAATTTTGAATAGCTATTTTGACTATCCTTGTTGGAGATGCTCTAATAAGAAAATTAATAGAAAGGATAAGTCATGGAATAGCAAGGTATGGCCAAGCTTGTGTTTTGTTGAACAATTATATATTTTTCATAGTTATTTTTCATAATTCTTTCATGAAACCTACCATTATTGTTTTGAACAGTCCAAGAACCAAAATAAAAATGAGATATTTGATGAGATTTTTAAAAAATATTTGAACATTCCAATTCACTCTACATCTATGATGAGATTGTCATGAAAAGCAACAGTCTTTACACCCTAAATTTTGCTAATATGTAAATACTTTTTTCATTAAAAATACTAAAATGTTCAGGTAAGCATTTAATATTAGTTACTTTTTTATATACTAAATGGTTATTTGATTTTTATATTTCTTACATTTGTATAAATAGTTTGCAATGAATAAACAAGAAATGGTACATGTTTTGGATTGTTTGAATTCTTTGTGGCTATTTAGTTGTGATTTCATTATATATTTTTAATGTATATTATTATAATGTCTCCTTTTTTCTTATTGTAAAAATTTAATGTTTGGTGCAGATGTTGATGGTAGTGGCAGAAAGAATGTATCGTGTCGGCAATACTACTGATATAAACTACAAGTATGAGATGATGATCACTCAATCATCCTACTATCTGGACGACTATTGCAGCAATTTGTTGTCGACATGTATATAAAACTTAAAAACACAAGGTTGGACTTTTATCGGAAGAAACAATAAAAAATAAGGGCTGAACTTTACCAAGGGATTGTAGATAGTGTCTTATCTAGTGAGAACAGGGGAAGCAAAGTGGGAAAAAGAATAATATTACCTGCATCCTTTGTAGATCATTTTATCACAATGACTTGTAATCCTGATTGGAAAGAGATTAGAGATTCATTAAAGGAAGGACAAGTAACACAAGATAGACCTGATTTAGCTGCAAGAGTTTTTCGAGCAAAGTTACAAGACCTACATCAACAACTATTTAAGAAGCATATTTTTGGAAAAGTAGCAGCACATGTTCACGTTATTGAGTTTCAAAAGAGAGGCCTATCCCATGCACACATGTTAATCATCTTCATGACAGATTGCAAGATTAAAAATCCAGATGAATATGACAAAATTGTTTGTGCTAAAATGCCAAATCCAGATAAGTTTCCTGATTTATATGAAAAGGTTGCTAAACATATGATGCATGGGCCTTGTGGAGTTTTAAATCAAAAAAATCCTTGTATGCGCGAAGGTAAATGCAAAAATCGTTATCCCTGCTATTTTTTACCATAAACAATACAAGGCAAAGACAATTATCTAATTTATAAGAGGAATGAAAAAAGTTTTACTGTTAATGTGCAGAATGCTATTTTGGATAATAGATGGGTGGTACCTTATAATCCTTATCTTTTGAGTCGATATAACTGCCATATTAATGTTGAGATATGTTCAGGGGTGAAAGCAGTTAAGTATCTTTATAAATACATTTATAAGGTCCACGACAAGATTGAAGTCAACATTAGTCAAAATGATAAAGATATCATTATTGATGAAATACAACAATTCCAAGATGCTCGGTGGGTATCAGCACAAGAAGCCATATGGAGGATATTTGAATTTTATCTAAATGAAATATACCCAGCAGTTATAAATTTGCAACTACATTTGCCAAACAATCAATTTGTCTTCTATTGGGAAGTGGGAGATGGAGAAAGACAACTACATGTCACATTATTTGAAGCGGTTGAGAAAATTATTGGATGTCCAGCAACTGAATTCATAGCATCCAAAGATAAGGCAAGTCTACCAAATGCATAAATAGTGTCACATTAGTAACATACCTACATAACAAAGAAAATAATTTAATTTAAAACTATACTATTGTTATTGTTATTGCAGGAAGGTAGAATAACAAATTCTATAATGCGCTAAAACTTGTTTCTAGACATACATATATATTTAGCACAAGGCTACACAAGATGAACAAAAAGGATCGCATATCTGGGAAGATTGTAACAGAAGAAGTACAAAATGACGAAGATCACTATGAAATGGAAAATATAAATACAACAAATTTTCAAAATCCCTCAAAGAGGATCAAACTAGAAAATGAATGAATTTTGTAAAATATTTTTATCTTTCAATTTCCTTTACTTAATTTATTTCAAAATTATAATAAAAATATTACAATATTGGTTGAATGTTTTATTTCTTCACCTTAAATAATAATAGTATTACAATGTTAGTTCGGTGTTTTATTTGTTCATCTTTTAATTACAAAATGGTATCTAGATACATACACATAACAAAAGTGAAACAACCTGGTGAATTATATATTTAATAGTGAGAGGGTAATTTGTAAGCAAATTGGGCCGAGCTAGGAAA